TACTGATGGAGTTTGTTCACATTTCAGATCGATGGACAGATAGACCGATACTTAAGATAGATAGACAGACAAATAAACAGACAAACAGACAAATACCTTGATGTTGAGTTCGGCAGTATCCTCTGAGGCTCCCGCCATAGAGGTTTTTGTGTCCACTTCATAGTCGTAGATGTAGGTCTCGCCTACTTCGTAGTTGAACTTGTTCTGGTTAGCTGTGCACGAAAGACAAAAACTGCTTTCAAGAACAAGTTGCTTTTTTAATGCTTATTTCTTTGTTAGTTTGAGACAAGGGTTTCCCCAAACAAAACTACACAAACGCAAGGGGGAAAAAAACAAAGATTAAAAGTAAGATTAGCATATTGACTCAAATTCGCTCCATCAGTGGTTAGGTGAGTAGTTAGATCAGGCTCAAAAGTAATGCCAAGCAAGCGTCAGTGACACATCATCATCATCATCATCAACTAAACAATTCCCCTTTTTCTTGTTGCGTGTTTCTTGTTGGGTTTTCTTGAAACATAATTTGCACTATGTCAGTACATTTTTACGTAACCTACCAGCACAAAAATCAGGACACGGGACAAAAAACAAGTGTCAGTGACACGAGGCTTAGAAATTATATAGATGTGTAGTCATCGCGGAGTGTGTCCTTGAGCAAGACACGACAACCCTTGCTCAAAAACAGGGCGCAGTACAAATGCGACCAGCAATAGATTGTTTGTCTCATTGTTCGGTATTGGTGTAATATCGTGTATTTGTTTTTATTTATGTATGTATTTATAATTATGTATCTATTTATGTGTGTTAGCCATTGCAATCCAGATTTCCTCACAGGGATCAATAAAATGCAATCTATTATTTTTTTTTAAATATTACCTTTATTTGGTAAAGCTCACTAAGTGCAGGGAAGAGTGAGGCTAGCACAGACAGAAACAACAGAGGAAGAAAAAGTTGGATCTGCTTGTGATTTCCTACAACCAACCAACGTGCTTTGGGATGATAATTTGATGGAAAAGGAAATGTTGTCTAAAAAAGTGGTGCAAAGCATCAAAAGATGGTGCCTTCTTCTTCTTCTTCTTCTTCTTCTTCTTCTTCTTCTTCTTCTTCTTCTTCTTCTTCTTCTTCTTCTTCTTCTTCTTCTTCAGACTTTCCGTGAGCACAAAGCTGAACGAGGGAGCGGTTGGCCTTGGTTCGAATCCTAGACAGAGAATTTTTTAAAACTGAGGTATTTTTATGGGGTTGTCAAGGCTCTCAGCACATTTGGCTCTGTCTTATCGGAGACAGATATTAAATTTGGATGCCCAGCATCTAAAATAACTTAAGTGTGCTGATTGTTAAAATCATACACTTCTTCTTTTTCTTCTTCTTCTTCTTCTTCTTCTTCTTCTTCTTCTTCTTCTCCTTCTCCTTCTCCTTCTCCTTCTTCTTCTTCTTCTTCTTCTTCTTCTTCTTCTTCTTCTTCTTCTTCTTCTTTTTCCCTTCATAAAGTACATTCAGATAACAGAAAACGCCACAGTTCAAATTAAATTAATGCCACGGCAATTTATTTACAGCACAAAATTAAAACCGTGTCCCTGGTTTTTGTTTTATGATAGAAAGTGCAACATGTGACAAGCAGATAAAACAGGGAAATCATTATTGATATCCTTGAATGCTGGAGACCTAATTTCGACACAGTATCAGTGATTATCAGACGCCTGTCATCAAACAATTGACCTTTATCACACTTGCCCCAGATGTTATAAGCTCGGTCATGACTTTTCACCCTTCTTTCGCACTTTGCTGATAGATATGAGTGATGATCTTTGTGTGGGCATTTAAACGCGATTATAGGAATGTGTGCATGTATGTGGGCG